ACAGCGTAATTTCTGCTCTCCGGTCCAACATGCCCACTCATCCGTGGATTCAGGGGATCATCAGACATGCCCCCCCCTCCCCCCCCCCCCCCAACACAGTATTCGCTTGGGTTCCGGGGCATTGTGGCATCACTGGCAACTCCGACGCTGACAAACTGGCCGCAGCGGGACCATCTGATGCCAGGTACACCGATGAAGTTCCCCTTCCGGATGGGTTGAAACTTCCATGCAGGCTAGGTGGCAAGAAGAATGGTTGGTAAACCAAGGACCGCTTCTAAGGAAAATCAAGGAGAGCACGCGTCCATGGGGAACCTGAAGGAGCAACGAGTCATCTCCAGGCTTCGCACAGGTCACACCCGGCTCTCACACGATTTCAGCGGAGGAGTTTTCCGCAAGACCTGCGTCGTCTGTAATATTCCAGCCACCATCTAGCATCCCAAGCAACAATTTTTGTTTTATTTAAGTTTTATAGCAGTTGATATAACCAAATTATAAAACCTTCACTGACGACCACATTGCTTTAACAATCTCCTGAGAACCGCAATACAGCCATGTCATGGCCAATTGGCCCAGTTTTAATGCAGTCATTAAAACTTGATATGCGAACTACTTTAGGAGCATAGGATTTATGTCAGTTTTATCACACTCTAGACGTGATTGTTAAAAATGAAAACATAAAACCTCCTCCAGGTCAGAAAGTTTTAACAGCCTTCTAATGACTACCATAAAACTATATTACAACCGCATAAATCGCTCCTGAAGAAGTTGATAAAACATGATACGCAAAACATTTTGACAACTTTGAAGGTTTTAAGTTGGGGTTTTTGGATGATAGTTAATATTGAGAAATATTTTATTGTGGTTTTATTCTTTCGATGTTTGATGTGAAATCATGATCCTTGTCAGTTGGTAATAATGGCTGATATTATTGTACATTGAAAATAAGACGACTTTATTATAATTTTAAACCAATCTGTATATGCTTCACAGCATGCCGTGCAATATTTATGGTGATTATTATACCAAATAGGAGCATAAATTTAGTGCGCCATGTGAATACTAAAATATAGGGATATTTTTAATTTGTCTGTATTAGCACCATGCATTGAAGAGTCATTCAAAGATTATCTATTTAGTACAAAACTGTTACTACTGTTGAGCAATAACCAGTCACATATTATTTAATTATACATAGATGTATGAAAGTGTTTTATTGCCTATCAATTAAAGCGTAATTATTCATACTGTGTGAAATTTGTTCATACGGCGACATTTTTTTTCGTTATAACTTGCTACTCCTTAAAAATACCTCAATATAACATATTCTCCTAGATTGGAATTCTATAGCATAACATAAACCTAATGGTTGTATTTTAGCATTTCGTAGTCCAAATTGAGAGCGTTAAGTTATATTTAAGCTATATAACTAGCTTGCTGGTTTTATTCGGTACAGCGAATCAAAACAAAACAAAAACCATGACCACCTGTCAAAAAGTCAACATTCCAAGCGATCCTCCTATTTTCGCATGTAATCAAGATGTAAGAAATGCTTATTGGATCCACTAAAAGCTTTTTCAATACAAGGTTTAAAGCCGTGATGTCAATACTGGCCATCTCCAAACGGATTTAATGAAACTGTCGGCGTTGCTTTAAGAAGCGTTGGTGGATCTTTCAGAAGTGTATCGGAAAGCCGCTTGTTCAATATTTTTAAGAGCTCCTTCACCGCACTGTGCCTTATGTAGGGATCGTATAACTGTAGTTCCTCCAGGAGTTTCATATTGTCAATCGTCTCATCTTCATCGTGTTCAGAAGCACTGAAGGGGTTTTCATTTCATATATCTGAATAGATTTGTTTTTTATAATGACAAAAAATTTCAGAGTATTTTTTGTTAAAGCAGTATATTTCTTATCTGTGAATCTTAGGCCTCTGATAAAGATGATAGTTGTAATGAAGCTTTAATGAAGGTCTAAGACTGCTTCAAGTTTTATATCGGTCATAAAAAGTGTACCATAAAACATAATTGTATGTTTTGTTTTGGTTTTATTCTTCAGTTATAAGTAGTGATGCAGAACCACCTTACAGCTACCGTTAAAACTATGAAGTCTGAGTTTTAATTTAGTAGTCATAAAACAGTTTTATAGACGACTTGACGGCCTGATTTTATGACAAGCACACAAAACCGTAATACAACCACAGGCTGGAAGGGATGCTATGATAAAACAATGATAAAATAAGAATAAATCTTCCAAGCATTTAGATTGTTACTTGGGATATCCTCTGCGTGTGTCCAAAGTACGAGCTCGTGCGGCAACACTACGGCCTTTCGGGGAATATCGGCGACATACTGGGCGACGAACCTTCAATCTTGATCTCCTTCCTGAAGGACGTTGGCTTGATTTTCAAAGTTCGATTCCTTCCTTTCGGCCGTCGGGCATCTCTAACGGATGGGGCACCGCCTTCCACGGTGGAGCTCTGCCTTGTTCTGATTATTCAATAAGTTAACTCAATGTCAATGGTCTAGTTTGTTCTTCTGTGTTTCCCAAATTTTAAATGTCGTCCAAACAGGCCTTATACCTCTGATATTTTTCCTGCAAAGTGAAAAACTAGCCAATGGCTAAAATACACTAAAATAAAGAAAAAAATAGTGGTGGCACGGGGGACACCCCTCACCATCCCTCTCCAAAGGGGGAGTTTGGTAAAGAGAGATGAAAAAACCGATTTGTACATTCCTTAAAAGTTGTCCTAGCTCACTATTCTACTATCTATATGCAATTTTCACACTGCCGTACTCTAACGGAACTATCAACTCTATACTTTCATCTACGTCATCTATCGTATAAAAATTACCACTACAGTCTGTTATTTGAAATTAGCATCTTCAACTAAAAAAAATAAAAATATATATTTAACCGTAGTTTAGCAAAATAAAAAATAAATCAACAGACCCCCCTAGGCCCCCTCCAGATAAACTTTCTAGCCACGCCAATGGTAAACAATTACACCAGAAGGGTGTTTTTTAGGATTTTATTTTTATTATTTATTTGCTGAGAAAATTGCAGTATTCTATTTATATTAAGCCTGAATTGGTAGAAATGCAAAGGAGCTGTTTTGCCCAGGGAGGGCGTTTTATACCTTCTTACCCTATCTGTTAGGAAAAGTGTCTGATATGGCTATTGGATTTCACGCTAGCAAATTACCCGCATCCATTCAGAACGCATGTCGATTGGGCAACGGAAAATTATGCTCCTGTCAATTTGTGTGTAACCAGCAGTAGCAGCACGTGGTCTACTGCTTCTGGCTACCTACCTAGTACCTGCCTATCTATATCGTGACTCGAATTAGCTTTCGCAACCGGCAGCATTGCATGCCTGCAGTGTATCAAACACGGGGTTGCAACACCGAACGGATCCAGATCCAGTAATTTAATTAGGCAATTCATTTACCATTGATAGATAAATTTATCTACTTATCGAAGTCACATTACACCACCAGCGTGCATGGACCAGAAGAGGAAAACAGGTGCCCGGAATGTTTGAACATCATGCTGTGTGACTTGGGTCAGCGGTCGGTCTCGGTCGGTCGGTAAAACAAGACCATCGAGTGCCCCAGAGGGTGAAAACAAATGGCCTCTCATTTGCCGGATAATCAGACGGTGGCTACTTCCACACTGCCACAGACAATTCAGAAGCACACTTTACTCTGACCTAGCCCCCCAGGGGGTCCGCGGACGTGAATAGGACAAATAATTCACACGCTTGTACAAAACTATCGCAATTCCGATAGACAACGCGCAAAAGTAGGTTTCGTAATTAATTGGCCAATAATCTCTAATGTGGCGAAGAACAACTTGGAAATCCGTACCCACACCGGAATGCCATAAGGAATAAGAGGAAGGGAAAAGGAAGAAGCTTAATTGAATTACAGCAGAAAACAAAAGACTTGTTGAACGCATTCGCATTAAGCGACGAACCCGCTGTTGCGTTGCGTCGTCGTCGTCGTCGTCGTCGTTCCTTCTTCAATCGAATGCCATTCTTCCATCGTTTCATCGAGTGGAGGATCCTGAGGATCGGAAAAGGCACGCGAATGGTATACCTTTACGCGTACCACACTACTGCCTGAAGATGTTCGCATTTCATTCATGCAAAGTTCACGCCAATCCCTTCTCCGTCCATGTTTGCTGGAGCGTAGAGAGACGCATAAAAAGGGCGAACACGGGCCCCATTGGAATAAAATAAAATTTGATTGTTCTGGGGGTAATTTAGCAGGAATTTTCAGTATTCCACATATCCACTTTGGTTGTAATCTCGTCCTCGGGGAAAGGTGAATTGAGGGGAAGGTGACGAACCTTAATCCAATCTTATGCTCTCCTCGGGAATGGTACAATATGCGTTTGGAACGGTTCAAACACATCTTCTCGCTCTGCTCAGAGCAAGTAACGGAGGTGATTGTTTTCGGTTGTTCGTTGCTTGAGTGGCGTCCCGAAGACGACCCATGTGGGTCATTACGAGGAGGAAATGGTAATTGTGTACCTATAGGAGAGGAGGTCAATTTAACCATTCGAAACCAATTAAATGCAGTCCGAAATATCTTTACCCAATTTCGGATATGCAAATTGTTTACCTATTATCTTATACGGAATTGCCATGCTTTTTCCTGACTGAGACATTTTCAAGTACGGACCGTATTGAAGCCCAGTCCAGCGGGATGGAACATTACTCTTAATAGAATGTTGGAAAACTCGTTTCGAAGCATAATTATTATTCCAGAGAATGAATGCATGATAATGGCTCGTGGTGTGGTCTGGTCGACGGATTATTTATATCAGAATGTACCATGCTTCTGAAGTCCGGTTAAATTACCTCAGTTGTTCGCAAGATTTGTCCCGATGATCTTGTGAAATTTCTTCAACCTACGGGCTCTAATTGACTATGCTTTTGAGACCTTATCCTCAAAATCGAACGACTTCTGAACACCGTTTCCACCATTCTTCTCTTTCCAGCGATCGCGAAGCAGCGGTAATGTTGTCCAACTCCTGGCTGTACCACTACTATACCGTCCAGTCCAAGATGCAGTTCGGTATTCCCTTTGAGGGAGCCACCCGAATTCCGCCGAACACATCCTACTACCACGGCCACGGGCATCACTCTCCCAACTCGACCCTGCAAGCCCACGGCTACATCGCTCCTCCACATCACGTATCCTACGGATATCACTCGCCTGTGGGGCAATCCGGTGCGACCAGCGGAGCAACGCACCACCACAATGGAACCTCCTCCTCAATCATCAGTCATCATCATGGCCTAGCGGGAGAACACTACCGTCCGTATGCCTACCGGCTCGAGACACAACCTGTAGACTACAGCAGTCAAACCCCTCAACCGTCGATGATTCCCGGTCAGATCCGATGCGAAAGCACCGGTAGTAGTCAAAGCAATCAAACCAATGGTGGTCCCGATCGGAACGGGACACCCCCAACCAAAAAGCGAGCCGTCGGTCGGCTAGAACACCTCTACATCCCAGAAAATGGACACAACTCCCCCGAGGATTCCATAACGGAACTTCAACCGCCACCGCACATCATCAATCAAGAGCATCACGATAATAGCAACAACAATACAGCAGGTATAGCAGGAGGAGGCATCGGGTCAATCATCGGATCCGGTGGAGTTCAAACCATGACTCTGTCTACCTCACTGCACATGCGAAGCAGTCGCATCATCAAAGCCCCTCCCTCGACCACCATCAACGAGCCGACTGACTTCATCGACCAGTGGAACCCAAGTCCTCCCTGGTCCGACACTACCGTTCAAAAGGTCCCGGACATTTCACACCAGGAACTAAGTCCCTACATGACCACCACTCCGCCGACACCTACCAGTGCGCCCCACGTCGCCGGAGTTCCCACGACCTTCTCTTTCGACTGGATGCCGGAGCAGTTCGTTCCCATCATGACCGACTGTCCGCCTTATCCACCACCTCCATCTGGCTGTGTCCACCCATGCACACTGACCCAGGATGGAATCCCAGTGCCAATGTCCCTTCCAATGCCAGTGCCGCTGCAAATCCCTCCTCCACCTTGGCCATCGGATCATCGTCTTCTATCGCTGGAAGGCAATGGATCCTCTTCAACACCTTCGACGCTAATCGATCGAAAACCTCCGGAAGATCCACAGCAACAACAACAACAACAGCAGCAGCAGCAGCATCATCATCACCACCATCCGCACCAACAAGCAGGTCCGTCTTCCTCCTCGTCAACCGGATTGGACAGCCATCGGGAACTGAAACGATCTCACTGAAAAGTTTAAACAGTATTTTTGTTGTTCATAATGTATCGCAAAAATTCCAGTATCACAGTATCAGTATTTCATTATTCCTATTAAGGTACAAATCATCCCCTTGTAGATTAGTGGCAGAGGCTGTACGCCTAGTGGAATGTTGTTTTTAGTGTAAATTGTAAGCGAATTATCCTTTTTTCTTGTGTGTAGAAACGATGTACTTCCGTCCATAGTTGCAATGTTAATTGTGCAATCTCTTAAGTAGTAATTGATAAACGAAATCCTTAATTTATCCATCATGTGACCGGTGGATAATGACGTTAAACGTGCATTTCTTCTTCCAACTACGATTCCTTTGCTAGTGCGTATTTATTTACCAACAGTATTTTTATTTATTTATTACCGTTCATGTTCGGTGAGCATGATTTTTACTGTGAATAAATTAATCGTTTTGTAAAATGGTTGTGCGTTGAATAAGTAATCCGAAACATCCACAGAAGGCAGAGAAATGCGTCAACTGGAATTTTGTCCCGCTTTGTGCCTTTTCGGTAGACTTGATAGTGAGCCTAATTCAAACTGTCCCTTTTTGGAAGCAACTTTGTTTTGCTTTGAATCATGATTCTTTCCAATCGATATCGGCCGCAAAGCTAAGGTGAACCCTCGATAAGTGCAAGTTCCGGATTCGATAGTAATCATTTTCAAACAGTCATAATTTTGTTTGATAAATGACACGCATGAAATGAATCATATTCAGCCAAAAAGATTGATAAGTGATTCACAAGATCCAGAAGGATGATTTCCTTCTATGTTCCAGCTTCCAGTACTTCACAATACTAACATTCTCGTTGTCTGTGAAAAATCATGTTCAACTATCCAGGTAAGTCTACGGATTTTATTTCGATCCAAGGGGATTGACGATGCACAATCTTCCTCTGATCTCTCCGTTAATCAAAAATGAAGGCTTCGTTTCCGTTTTGAGATAAGCATCTCAAGCAACATAGCCAGTTTTATCGAGGTTTTTTTTATAAACTGTTTGCTGGAATTTTGATCGTTGGTCTACCATGTTTGATTGCAAAATTACACAGAACATTGATTTTTGCTATCTATTCATCAAGCTCATTCCGTACATCCCTATCATGGTGTGGTAACTGGATACACCTCTGAGAATGGTAAATTAGATCAGGATGACGTGACTCTTTCCGCTCAGTATTATGAAAAGGGACCTGGGATAGATCTAACGATAATCTTCCCAGTAAACAAAAACAGTCACCCCTAAGCCACCAAGCCCCTTTTCATTACAGCAAACCTGTACAACTGACGATCGTTCAAGCCCGGCGGTATGGAGTAATTCAAATGAAAAGACGTTCCCGGAAGAAGTGATCTACATTTTTATACGTTGTTACGTATTTTAGTTCAAAAGCTACAGCATGTTGCATAAATAGGACAAAGTATGAATATTAAAACCCTTTGTTCGCGAAAACAAAAGAAGCACTCCAAGCGAATCAATTTGTCCATTCCATGTTGGCTTTAATCCGAACGACGAAGTAAATCCAATAATGTTCCGATGTGTTTGTATGAAATTGATACCCGTAGGCCAAATTTTGAAACAAAAAGCAGTGATGAATTTCTAACATTTTCATTCCTAGAGACTACAATTTTGCTTTAACTATAGTATAGTCCAGGAAGGCCTAACAACTTTGCCGAAGGAAGTATGGTGCAAGAATGTCTTAAATATCGGAACAGATCGGACATTATTTTTAACGAACAGATCGAGAGTAAAATCGATTGTCACTAGAGTGTTACTTCGGTTTTCAACTGTGTTGGCAGAAAAAAATGATTTTCGTACTTCCTTGAGCAAAGTAATTAAGCACTTCCAGGACTAGGCTTTAACATGATTGGTTGCATAGTTCTAGAAAAAATGTGGAATCTAGGAATGAAAACGGAAAAATCTAGGTTTTCTCATACAAATTTCTAACGCAATGCAGAAAGCCAACATAACTAATCGTTCTTAAATTTTGTTTATTTGTTTGGGATCCTGAATGGGACCAAAAAAAGAGTTGTTCTCAACTGTGACCCACCCTAAACACGCAGCAAAATCATTGTCACCATCCACACACTGTTCGCTAGCATGTAGAGATGAGTAGAAGATCACTGTTACTGGCTGTTGTGTTCGTTTTCTTTTCTTCGATTCCCTTCTTCCTGTGCAACTGGTATTTTGTCATTCCCTTTTCCCTGTGTTGAGACAAATCTGTTGTGGTGGAACATCCCTAGTAGTACGCTTGTCACAAATCAATTGTAGAAAATTATATACGACTTATTTCAGTCATAAACAGTTTGCTGTAACTTATTGTGATGTAAGTGTGCTACTCGGGATTAGCCCTGACCTTACCTTAAAAATCAGGCAAAAGCCTTGAGGTCCTCTGCTGTCCGAAGAAGTAGTCTCCACTCTACTCGATCCATGGCCACACGTCGCCAGCATTCTCGATTATAGATTAACCTATCGCAACCCGGGAAGTCGAGCGATTTCCAATCGTAGTCCTTATGTCATCGCGTAGGTCTCTGCCGAGTCCCACGCTAGCACTAGGACCATAGAGGTAACTCTTAGACTAGTACGTCCCGAGAAACGTGCTCAACTTTTTGGCTCAGCTCTGGTACTATCTTCGGTCGAAAGCTAATCGATTCACCCCTCGAAACATAGGAAAATCCACTAACCCCTCATTTTACCTGTCAAACTTTCATAGCGAATCAAAACAAACATTGTGTAGCATTAGAATTTTGACTATCGTTTGCTTGGGACCAATAGGCTAGTCAAGTAGTGAGCCAATTTAAAATCGTTAGTTTCGTATTGATTGTTGCTAACACCAATGGTGAAGCATTTCCTCTATCACCGTTCTTTGGTTACCGCGCCAGTGTTCGCGTCACACCTCTTCACTTTGCTATTGCCGGACTGGCAACATTTCCCAGGCTATGGCACTCGGGGAGGCGTGAGGTAGGAACTTGTGCCGACCAGAGCTAGGTATTCCGCTCCTTCCAGTCACCATTTTGTAGCAAGGAACATGTGTCCACGCATTGCATATTTTAGATGATGGCGGAGCCAATGGCTATGGTAAGGCCATCAAAAAGTACACTGGAGCGAATCCTAAGGTTGAACGATCTCCACAGCCCCTCGACCCTCTCATTCATCGTATCATCCACCTTTGCCACTGCTTTACCCATAGGATCGAGGGTTGTTCTTATCAAGCAAAAACAAATAGCTTTGAATGTTAACCAGATTTCAAAGGATTTAATAAAACAGAAGCCCAGAAATCTTCAGAAAATTTTCGGGAACTAGAAGTCCATGGAATTTTAGGGAAGATTCGAAGACCTTACGAATGTTACATGGACATTTGGAAAATGTAAGAACATTTCAAAGAAATTTCGTAAGCTCCATCTTCACTGGAACTGTAAAAACGTTAAAGAGGTTTCTAGAATTTTAGGAAAGAACAGAGAACCTCAGGACAGTTTCATAAACTTCAGATAAATAACATAAATTTAAAATAAAAAAAAAAAACTTTCGAGAACTTCAGCAAATTCCACGCTAATTTTTTTTTTTTTACTTTGTTTCTGAGATTTTTAGCCATGGGTCAGTTCATCTCCAAACTCCACGGCAAATGACAAATAGGAAATCTCAACCTTCTCCAACATTCTGCCATTTTAGATCATGTAAAGTTTTCAAAATACGTACCGTCTTTAAAAATTTTCATTGTACAAATTTGTTGTTGTACAATACAGAAACGACACTTCTGATCAAAATGACGTCTGAGACAAAGTTTTTGAGAAAAATTGTTTTGCTCTCAAAAATTTCAGGATATTTTTATTAATTTTTATTGAATGAAAAATACTAATTTTAGGAAGGTTTATTATTTATGGACACTAAAAAATTGTCAAAAATTGTAGGAAAAGAAATTTTATTAAATTTTTTGAACTCTTTGCTCAAACGTTTTTTACGTAATTTATACTTAGAAAATAATGTTTGAGACACTTTAACTTATTTTCTGTAAAAAAAATTTGCAAAAAGTGTGCTAAAAAAAGTTTTAAATTTGACCAAATGTTCTTTTTATATGATTTTCTTCAATTTTAGGGTGTCCACCATGGATTTTAAACATTTCAAAGAAAAAAAAATTGATAGGCATTTTTTAGTAAAAAAAAACAATTTTCTTAAAATAAACATATTTTGTGTCTTTTCCCCAGAAATGCATTATTATTCTCTACAACTTTGTCTCAGCTGTCATTTCGATCAGAAATGCGGTTTTCGTGCTACAATTTTTTGAAAAATTTCTAAAACGGCATTTTGAAAATTTTACAAGGTCCAAAATGGCTGAATTTTTTATAAAAATGTGAATAATTGCTCATAACAAACAATTACGGATAGTTTTATACATATTAGAAAAAGTTTATTCAAAAATTCATTTTTTTTTCTAACGTTTTTGCCTGGAACAGCTCATAAATTAACTAGATAAAAAAAATATTCGAGTTATGCATCCTTAATGACACCCAAAACCTCTCAACACTTGCACAAAATTTGATTGGCAATGATTTGCAGAGGCAATGTAACGTTACCCATACAGTTTCGTATAATCAGTGAAACATTTCCACAGTTTGTACACATAAGTGACGTTCGGCATACACCTTCTTCAAGCTTCAGAAAAAACTATAAAAACGTTTGAGAGTTTTCTAGAATTTCAGGAAAGAACAACTTTAGAGAAATAACATAAAGTTTAAAAAAAAGTTTTGAGAACTTCAGTGAATTGTTTAAACATCAGGAGCGTCCGTCAGGAGTCTACACAAATTGCGGAAACTTCACTGCCGTGATATGAAAAACTGACGTAAGCGTCACCGTGTTCAGTCCTCACTATTCACCATCCTCAATGACAGCCAAAAGCACAAAATTTAATTTTGAAGCAAAGCGGCAAAGTGACATTAGTCAGACATTTTCTAAGAATCAGTGAAAATATTTCGCATTTTCTACACATAAGTGACTGAGCTAACGAAGGTCCTAACGTTATGAGGTTAAACGAAACTGAACAATTCACTAAATGTATTTACGTCACATTGTCAAATCACGGCATTTCAAAGAAGATACATGACCATCAGGCTGGTTTTTCAAACTACATAAAGTAAGAGGTTTTATCCAAGACACGACCGTAGATTAGACGTAGGATTACGAAAGGTAGTTTTGATGTCACTGCTGTTGTCAGTTATCAGTGAAAAATTTTGATAGGTTGAAATTCGGAAGCAATTTGAGAGTTCTGTTTTTGAGGTGCTCTGTCGATGTCCATGTAGTACAAGCCAATCCTGGACGATATGTCTTGAATTTAAGCTCTTACTCTTTTGTTAACTCTTTTATCAGTCATTTGTGGT